GGGATTTTAAGGTGGTTTTTTTTATCTCTCTTCATTTCACTGCGGTGTTTTTTTGTTTTTTTTTTCCCCATTCCAGGCAGTTACTCAAAGATCCCCAAGTGTTATTTGCAGGGTATAAGGTGCCACATCCTCTGGAGCATAAGATTATCATCCGTGTCCAAACGACTCCTGATTACAGCCCCCAGGAAGCTTTCACTAATGCCATCACGGATCTGATCAGTGAGCTCTCTCTCTTGGAGGAGAGGTTCAGGGTAAGTTTATTTATCTTTCAAAGTATTTAGGCTTCTTCTGATTAATCCAAAGGATGGCTAGTGTGTTTTAGAGCTGCTATTTTAGGGCTATAAATTAATTCAAGCCACCCTCATTGTGTTATTCAGCTCCTTTGCAAGGCAGGGGGGAGTCTGGCTGCTCTTAAATGGTTATTTGGGTGTCCAAAAAGGTGATATGTGTGCCCCAGATTGTTATTTGGGTGCCAAAAAAAGAGGTTCAGATGGTGCTGTTATTCTCAAGTGGCTGGACTTGTTTTTCCCACAGAATGGTTTGGGTTGGAAGGGACCTTAAATGTCATCTAGTTGTGCCGTGGGCAGGGACACCTTCCACTAGCCCAGGTTGCCCCAAGGCACATCCAACCTGGCCTTGAGCATTTTCAAGGATGTGACAGCCACAGCTGCTCTGGAAAACCTGTGCCAGTGCCTCACCACCCTCACAGGGAAGAATTTCTTCCCAATACCCCATCTAACCTTGCCCTCTGGCAGTGGGAAGTCTTCCCATCCCAATACCCCATCTAACCTTGCCCTCTGGCAGTGGGAAGTCTTTCCCCTTGTCCTGGCATTCCAGGCCCTTGTCCAAAGTCTCTCCATTTTTTCCTGTAGGCTCTTTCAGGTACTGAAATGCCTCAGTTAGGTCACCCTGGAGCCTTCTCTTCTCCAGGCTGAACAATTTCAATTCTCTCAGCCTTTCCTCATCTTATTAGTGTAGAAAACAATAACCTTGCCCTCTGGCAGTGGGAAGTCTTTCCCCTTGTCCTGGCATTCCAGGCCCTTGTCCAAAGTCTCTCCATTTTTTCCTGTAGGCTCTTTCAGGTACTGAAATGCCTCAGTTAGGTCACCCTGGAGCCTTCTCTTCTCCAGGCTGAACAATTTCAATTCTCTCAGCCTTTCCTCATCTTATTAGTGTAGAAAACAATTTTCTGTTCTTCCCAGTGTTATTTTTTTTTTTACTTTTGCCAAAACTGGACAGTATTTTCCCTTCTCATTGCTTATTTAGCCCCTGATTTTTGAGACTTTATCTGCCCCAAAGGTTACTCAGACAAAACAAGGGAGCCCATGACTAGGATAGTGCCTGTGTGGTGCTCTCTGATGTGCTGGGAAAAGGTATTTCGTAAATATCTTTTTGATTGTAATGTCAGTATTATTTTTCTGGATGGTATAGAGATTTCCACTTATGGGTTGTGGTAGTCCTTGTGTTTCACAGGAGTTAGCAGTGTTTAAACACCTTTCAGCTCAGTAACTGCTCTTGTCTTAGCACTTGTATTTTGTCTGTGCTTTACAGGTTGCTATTAAGGACAAGCAAGAAGGAATTGAGTAAAATCCTCCCCTGTGGAGCAGACTGTACTTCTGAGGCAGAAACGTGTGCCTGTTAGTTGGATGATATATTCAAACCTCCATTCATGGCATGTATTTTTCCCCTTGTCCCACTTACATTCAATTCTTGACAGCAGCAGCAATATTTTGAGTTTGGTTTGTTTAATATCAGCCAGGCACTTTGCCAAGAGGATAAATGTCTTGTTGGATTTGATGGATAAGTCATTAAAGTGATTTTTACTTTTCTAATTGGAGCCTTAAGGCAAATATTTGTCCTGGGCTTTTGGGGAGGTTATTGTGAGTGTAATTCCAGCATGAGAAGCTGCTCTGTGATAGATGAACTCTCTGTTTTCCCTCTCAAAAAGTCCACGCAGTACTGCCCACAGAACTGATATTTTGTTTTATTAAGTGTCATTTCTATAAAACAAATGCACAAATTGTGAAAACAGTAAAAGAAACCAGATGTTTACAATGACTCGATGAATTTAACAAACTTACCTTCTTTTAATCTTGCACATAACAGCTGGTCTAGAAAATGTCAGGGGCACATGGGTAACAGTCACTAATACTGCACTAGTTCAAAGCAAGGGGGATGAAACCGTTAACAGGGAATTAGGATTTCTTCCAGATGGCTGTGATGTTCACACTAGTCAGAACAACAAGGTAAGTAAAGGCAGGATCTGATACCACGTTGTTGATTAAGACTTCAGGCGGCTGTTCCCCATTCATGCGGAGCTCTGGCCACTTGAGGATCTGTGAGGAGAACAGAGGGGGTAGTGGTGTCTCTGAGGATGTTCATTCCAGCTGGGACTCTGGGGAAGCTAACTCTTCCCCTTTCTGAGGGGTGGTGCAGCTTTGTGATACTCCAAAAGTGTCAGAGGGGCTTGAGCAGGGAGCAGCAAGTGAAAGCAGGTGCCCCTCAGTCCCAGAGGAACTGACTGGTGACTTGGCAATACACTTCCAAGAAGCTTATGGAATCAGACAGTCATTAAGGTTGGAAAAGACCTCCCAAGATCATGGAGTCCAACCTTTAAACAATCACCACCTTGTCAACTAGACCAGATGCACTAAGTGCCACATCTAGTTGATTCTTGAGCACCTCCAGGGTGACTCTGCCACCACCCTGGGCAGCCTCTTCCAATGCATGACACCACTTTCCTTGAAGAAATTATGGACCACTGGATCACTTCATAACTGAATCTAATGTAGCTCCAGACCAGTGAGTGAGAGCCTTTGAGAGTGTGTGTGTGTGTGTGTGTGTGTGTGTGTGTGTGTGTGTGTTCTTCCAAAGGCTTCATCATGGAAGGGAACTGTCTTGCAAAAGAGAATTGTCTCTAGAGGCCAGGGAAATACTGAGCAGGAAAAGGGTACATGAACATATGGAAACAGTGAGCTCTTTCCTGCTCTGGCTTCCCTCCTCATGGCCCCGCAGGGATATGGTGCCTGCAGACTTGTGCTGTTGAGCTCTCCAGTTTAACCATCAGATTTTAAGGCCCTTCCAGGAGCAGCTGCCCAGCTGCAGGAGGCAGGAGCTGCCAGACTTGCTCTGCAGCTCCTCATTTCTCTCCCAGCTGTGAATGGCCTTGGTCACACTCTGAGGATTGTTTTTAATTGCTTGTGAGTGTCAGGTGTGGGAACACACAACATCATCTGGGGTAAACCTGCTCAGGAGATTAGGGTGAGCTGCTCCAGAGTGGAAGGGAGGCTCCAAAGGGTACCTGAGACCTACCTGTGTGGGAGAGATCTTCCGCTGCGAGTGCTTTCCTTTTGCAGAGCCCCAGGCTGCAGTGTAGCTTGAGAGGTTGTACATCCACACACTGCCATTTTCATCCCCACAGAACACATAGCCTCTTGCTGTGTGAAAAAAGAAAAAGCTGGGATATAAGTGTGGAACTGGCAGTCCATTCTGCTACAAAGCCAATGGAAGGTGCCATATTTCAGCAAAATTCCCTTTCCAGCACAAAAACATGAATCTACCTTGCTCTAAAAGAACTCAATTCATTTAAAGACGAATCAGCAATCTTCCTCTGGTGTAGAAAAACTCATGCTAATGTTTTGGGATTACTTCTGGCTTTTTATAGACTGGTTTTGGAAAGTGGTGACCACACCAGGTTTGTCTATTCCTTGTCAGCCTACAAAGCATTCCCGCCCCTGACTTCAGCTGCACTCAGCATCAAAATCGCTCCACCAAAACTACAGGGCTCAGCCCTCAGCACTGTGCTTTGAAAACCTGTACAAGGGAGCCTGTCTAGTCTCAGCTGCCCCTCCTTGTAGGGCAGATGGTGGAGCTGTAATTATTTATTACCTGGATCATTTATACCCAGCTGGGCTGAGGCTGCGCAGTGCTGAAGCTGCACTGCAGTACTTGCAGAGTGGAGCCCAGACAGGCTCTCTGAGGGGGGCTGAAATCCAGGCCTCTGGCTCTGGGCTGCTCCCTTGAGTCAAACAGGAGCCACAGACAATTAGGCAAAGTCCACCTTGACCTGTGTGTTCACCTTGGCTGCCTACCTGGGCAGGTGCTGAGTGTCAGGTAGGACAGGCTTGTTGTGGACCACTCCAGCTCAGCTAGAATAACTGCAGACACTGTCTGCTGGCATTCCTTCCCCTTGGCATCAAAAGACGAGCTCCAGCTCCACAGATAGATGCATCCTGGTTTAGAGCTCTTGGAAACTAGGGAAGAAAGACAAGAGAGGCTGTGTCAGCTGCTGAGAAGTGAAATGCCTCAAGACAAGGTGATCCATCCAGAACATGGCTTTTAGGATCTGATCTAGCAGCAACTGTTCCACCCATTTACCTTATTTCAGGATAATTGGAGGTTGCAGAGATTTTCATTGCTATAAATATGTTCCTGAACTGCATAACAAGCATAAGCTATTCAGAAAGACCCAGCCCATGATGTGGAACCCCTAGTACCCCTGCAAAAAATAGTGCTGCCACCGGCCCTTGAGCAGAAAGGACTCTCCTCTCTTCCACACTGGCACTGTTTGTGCTCTCAGGGATGGGACCATCAGCTTGCCAGACATGGCTTTGCACTCTAGCCCGCATTTTTTTGGAAAAACAAGTGACTCTGGGAGGCAACTCCACTCAGTGTAGCCTCCACAAAGCTAAAGAAGAGGCAGTCACACCCCATTCAGTCCCTACTGCCTTCACCCTGCCCATGCTGAGGTGCCTGACTGTTTTTCTGGATGTGCTGTTGTGTTTATAACTCACCGACGACATCATCATTCAGAAAAGCCAAACCATCAACCCTGTGAGATGTTGTCATGCTTTCATCATCAGGAAACTGGAATATGGCTTCAAAAGGCCTAGAGTAGGGGGAAGAGTGAAATGAGCCAAGTCCTGAACAGGCAGAGGGAAGGGTGCCTGGGTATAGAACCCAGGAAGAAATTTGTGTGTCAGTGAGTCTCTTGCCAAGCTCAGATGAATTCCCACTTGAACTTACACTTTCAGCCACCTGGGTTTATTAATGCAGCAGAAACCTATTTGCTTAAGAGACTGCTGTTTCACTTCATCTGTTTTTGCAGTCATCAAGACTAGCATTTGTCAGCAGGGCATGACTTCACTTGCTTCTTGTAATATTTTCCTGAGCTCCCACAGAGTGCCAGTTTCCTGGGTAACCTCACGTACCAGCAGGGCAGGCCTTGCAGTGAGACTGGAAATTGATCCAAGAATTTACACTCCGTTACACTACATTGAGACGCCCTTAAGTTTTGGGGTATTGGATTACACTCCTGCCAGCCCTCCTGCAAAGCAGCAACACTTGCAGACTGGAGCTTCAATACACACCCAGGGCTGTAAGCTCTGAACACTGCTTTAGCATCATGCTAAGTTTTTTTTTCTAGACACTATGGGAAGGGAAATATGTTTTAGGTTTGGTAGAACATGGTGCTCTTGCTCAGACCTCATCGGTTAGAAGTCAGGTCTTTGCTAGGACTAACTCTTCTTGTTATGGAAAGCAAATGCATGGCCTCAACTTTTGCTCCTCACCTGCTTTTTTGTCCCTTATCCAGTTTTATGTCCCAGACAAAGCAGCCATCTTCACAGCCTGCCAGCAGGTACTTCTCTGGGCAGGTGGGGACCAGAGCAATCCGTAAGGGAATAGAGACTGCTTCCAGCAGCAGCAGCTGGCTAGAAAAAGGAAGAGGACAAGCAGTTAAGTGATGCTGCAATGTGATACTTGCATGCTTCTGGACTGGCCAAATCTGGTTTTTGAATCTTTACCTTGCTTTGAAATTGTAGTCACAGTCTGGAATCCCAATATCCCAGAGCACAATTCGCTTGTCATAGGATGCAGCTGTGGGACAGAAGAGAAGCAGGTAGTGACACCACTGCTCATCTGGCTCTTCTCATGCTAACTGGCAATTCTACCTGAGTCACAGACTGTAACACTCTAAGGCATCAGAGAACTCATTAAAGCACAGCAGCAGTCACTGAGGCTCCTGGCCCAACACCACTTCACAGACACTGTCAGGCATGCACAGTCAGTACTTTGTGTTCTTATCCTGTGCTCTAAGAGGGGCAGGTAAAAGAAAGTTTGTTTTCTGGTGTACATCACTAGGTTGTGGCATCACAAGGTCATTAGTTAGTGGCCCTATGAGCTCGTTTCTGGTCAGGGGTTCTGGTGAAACCTAAATCATGAACTCCAATGTCTGCTCTCAGGTAGACACTGCTTTATTCCACATATCCATGGCTTACTGTGTTCGTATCCAGAGCAGCTCCCATTGGGAAACTTAGGCACTTACATAAAGGGTGAGAAACATGTCACCAAGCAGAAACAGTCCTACTAGATTACTCAGAGTGATCTGGATCTCCATTAGAGATGGAGATCCTCAAAGTCAGAGGTTGCTGGTGTTCAGTCCCCAAACAGGGATGCAAAGACTGCCTCTTTATTATTCTATATTTTTCTATTCAATATAATGAACCTTGCTGTCCACCCCACTATCTGGATGTGCTGTCAACCTCTAGGCTTCTGCTTTTGGCACTCTTGAGCTTCTTCTGGAAAAA